CTGAAGTCTAACTTGAGAGCCCAGCCAGTGCTGACAGGATGATGGGGGCAGGGCATGGAAGAAAATGTGGTTTCTCAATGGGGTTCTGGAAGGACTGTGGGAGGTCTTCAGGGGTGCTCAGGAGGGGAGGATGCACCTAACAGGTGAGAAGGGCTAGAGGTGAAACCCTCCCAAGAGCCACCAGGTGAGCTTTGTTGCGCCCACTTTACAGAGCAAGAGACTGAGGTCCGGAGAGATCCCCACACTTCTTTCTTTCCCCACTTGACCACATTCTTGGAATGACGGCCCAGGATCCAATGGGCATTAGTTTTGAATGTTCCAGCAGCACTGACCCCGTCTCAGTTCTGTCTCCCAATGACAGAGCGAGAGGTCACTGAGGACATCAAGAAGACCTGGCCAGCCCACAACAGCTGCTCTCATCAGACCATGAACACCTACACCCCAACACCTGTGCAGATGCAACCCTACACCTGTGCAGACACACCCCTACACCCATGCACAGACGTACCCCAACACCTGTGCACAGACACACCCTCATGCCCCTGCACACCCCTAACCCCACTCTCCTGCACACTCATACCCCTACACCATGCATCACACCTGAACCCCATGACCAACACTCACCATGGGCAGCAGTGTGGTGGGTCAGGCCCCACTGGGCCACGGTGTGGGCTCTCCTGCCCTTTTCACCTCTGCCCCCTGCCTGAGCTGACGCTCACAAGGAAGGCCCAGCAGCAGCCAGGTTAATATGCATTTTTCTGACTTTGGGAGGCCGAGGCAGGTGAATCATGAGGTCAGGAGTTCAAGACCAGCCTGGCCAACATGGTGAAACCCTGTCTCTACTAAAAATACAAAAATGAGCCGGGTGTAGTGGCGGGTGCTGGTAATCCCAACTACTTGGGAGGCTGAAGTGGGAGAATCGCTTGAACCCGGGAGGCGGAGGTTGCGGTGACCCAAGATTGCGCCACTGCACTCCAGCCTGGGTGACAGAGTGAGACTCTGTCAAAAACAAAAAGAAAAAAATGTATTTTTCTGGGAGCCTGGACAGGTTCTCTGGGGCGAGTGAAGGGAAGGCGTGGATTTGGGCCATGGTCCTGGTCCTGGGTCTAGGCTCTGTGCGGTGGGGTCACCAGCCTCCCCTGGCACTGTCCTGGCTGCATCCCCTGTCCAGCCTGGGCACGTCCCACCACATGCCCCACACGGGTCTGGAGTCTGGGGAAGGTGTGGCCACAGGTGTGGAGTGACAGGCTGTGACAGTTGTGTCACCAGATCCTCTGGGCAGGGAGCTGTAAGGCAGGCAGGGTCAGGCCTGGACAGCCCAGGACCCCAGGGAGGCGGGGCCGTGGCTCGGCCGGAATGTCCTTCCCCGTGACTCGGCTTTCTTCCCCTGACCCGGCCAGTCCTGGCCGCAGTCCTGTCCATGGGGCGGCAACTGGTGCTGGGTGGTACGGCCAGGACTGGGGCAGGACGGGGTGGCCCTGCTGGGATCTGGAAAATGGTGTGCGGGGTTCCCCAGGACGCAGGATGTGGGCTCTGTGTGGCTCCCTAGACCCTGGAAGGTTCCCTGGGACCCGAGATCTGGCCCCGATAGGTCTGGGGGCCTGTTCTGCCACCCTCCCTGGGGCAGCAGCTGTGGTGTCCCGCAGAAAAAAGCCTCTCCGCATTTCCTAGGTCATGTCATGACACAGAGGTAGGGCCTGGCTCCCAACCTGACTGAAGATGAGACTCTTGGGGCAGCCCATGGGGGAGGAAGCAGATCCCAGCCTTCCCTTCATGCCCGTCCCCTCCCACAAAGGTTGCTCTTGGAAAAGGTGGGACCATGTTCCCCAGGGAGCTTAAGCCTGCCAGGGAGCAGGGTGGGAAGGACCTGGGGGCCAGGCCCCTAGGAGGACATTCCAGGGCCCCGTAGCTGGAACTGGGAACAAAAGGAAGTTGGAGGCAGGTGGGGGCAGGCGGGTGTCAAGACTGGGGGCCGTGGGGTCACAGGGGGGGCGTCCTGTGAAGCTGCTCACTGGCCAGGGATGGTGCCACCTGTCCACACCCACACCTCCTTTCTTGCAGAAAAGGGCAGCCTGGGCCTGGGGGCTGACCCAGGGCCACTGTGGGGGAGCAGGCATTAGAGCCAGGTCTGGGGTGTGTGCTCCCCACACCACCCAGAGTGCGGCTGCAGAGATGCAGACACACGTGGCCCTTCCTACCCCTTCCCGCACCTCCAGGCCACTAGCAGGCGACGGGATTGCACCACACCCAGAGGTGCCTCTCCCCTGCTGCACCATCGCTGTCTCTGACACATCCATGATTGCTGAGGGAGGGGCATGACCCCCGGAAGGTACCTTACCCAAAACCTGAGTGGTATTCAGTGCCCAGGTGCCCATGGAGTCCTGTGTCAGATGGAGCCTGGCCACCTGGGCCCTGGTGCCAGGCCTGGAATGCCCCCCTCCCGCAACTGCTAGGCCTTTCTACAAGCTGAGCACTTGGAGGTCAGGGGTACCTCATGCTACCAGAGTGCCAGAATCCTCAGAGAGGGGCCCAGGGTCGCGGAGGCTCTGGCCCAACCCCACAGCGCCCTGTCCTGTCCAGGCCTGGGCTGAGCTGTCCCAGGTGGCCTGCTCGCTAGCCGTGCTGAGCCTTTCCTCTGGGTAACAACCTGGCAAGCCCCCAGCCCCAGCCCCCAGCAGCCATCACATCACTGTGACCAGTCGGTGGTCTTCCAGTCCCCCCAGTCAAAGCCCACAGACTTGACCTCTCTGCTGGGAGCCAGTGCTCGTCAGTCTGCCTGCTCCCTCCCCTCTGAGGGCAAGGAGGCTCCATCCCAGCTCTGGGTGGGCAGTCCTGGGGTCCACACTCATGAGAAGCCATGCCTAAGAGGGGGCCAGACCTGGGGGTCCGAGCCAAACCCCAGGTGCTCCCTGGGACCCCAGGAGGGATGAGTGGGCGTCTTCCCAGCTGGGAGAAGACCTGGCTCTGGAAGGGGCGCCCCTTTGTGCTTCAAGAGGCAGGAGGGGCAGTGAGACCCCAGGCTCTCCGGCTCTGTCTTCCTCCCCCCGTTGCTGCTCTAGGGTGGGTTCAGGTTCAGGGATCAGGGCCAAGCCGCAGGCAGGCGTGGAAGGTGTCTTGAAGGCTTGGTGGGGGCCCCAAGCCCAGCTGGCAGGTCTGGTGACTCAACAATCCGGGATGGGGAGCACGGGGCCCCCGCCTCCCCAGCAGGCAATACCTTGTGGAGGACCCATTCCCGAAGCTGCCCATGGTGCCCCCGCCCTCTGCTGCTCTCCCTCACAGAAACTGACGGATCGCCTGGTGCAGGAAGACGGGAGCACCACCTGCATCACCCAAGGCGGCTCCACCACCTGCCCGGGGCGGCAGCACGGGCCAACTACGTGGGGTCTCCCTCCACGAAGTCCGAGGCCCCCTCACCACTTGCCACAGGCCTGGGTTCTGTTCACAGGCTCTCATCTTGATGTCTGGGGATGGGGGTGGTTGGGCCCCAGGTAGGGGTGAGGCCCAGACTCAGCCTCTGTGAGTGCCAGTGGGAGGGCGGGCTCGTTACATTCCACAGAAAGAACAGGCGGCCTTACTGGACTTGGCATCCCGGAAGGCTGGGCTCCAGGTGGAGAGCCAAGGCCCACACGGCCTCACTGCCAGGGATGCGCCTCCCCCTGCCCTCTGGAGGGGTCCTCCATTGATACCCACTGCCTCTTTTGTGCGAAGGTCCGGGCTTACTGGTGCCGGGGCCGCCGAAGGCCCAGGGTCTGTGAGGGGCCAGTTAAAGCGTCCTGTGGCCCTGACAACCAGACTCCTTGGTCCAGGCCAACAAAGGCCTTACACCCTGAAGCTGCCTCAAACCTCGGCACCCAAAGTGCCCCGTTATTTCCACGTTGCAAACGCGCTGGGAGAAGCGCCTCGCGGGGTCCAGCGGGTGGACAGCCCTGGCCTCCCCGAAGGTGGAGACGTCCGGGTTCTCAGCCGCGAGAGGGGCGGGGCAGGGGCGCAGTGCTGGAGTCGGTGGCTTTGTAGGGCCCCGCAGGGCGCGGAGCCACCTGGGGAAACGGAAGTTCAGGGAGGGCGAGGCCGTGCCCCAAATCCAGGCAGCGCAGGCCGCGGGCCGCTCCCCGAGCCAGGAGGGGCCGCCGTCCGCACCGGGACCGACGAGGAAGCGGAGGTCTGAAGGGGGACAGGTCGGATGTGGCCTCAGAGAGGGAGGATGCGGGCCCGGAGCTGAGCCAGGCGGCCGGAACCCCACGGGGCCCGCGCGCCCCTCCCCGCCCAAGGGGCCCCGGCGTTGGGGGACAAGGGGTCGCTGCCTGGAGGACGCTGGGACCTGCCGCGCTGCGCTCCCCGCGAGCCCGGGAAACGGAGGGACGGGGGAATGGGGGTTGGCGGGAAGCAGCGAGCCTGGACTCCGGGGGAGGCGAGGCAGGGTGGCCCCAGTCCCGGGGCGCGGAGGGGGCGGGCGAGCTCCGGACCGGGGCGCCACGGGGACGGTTCCGGTTGGGGGGTCCCTGGGCCCGGCGGGGTTGCGGGACGCGCCGTCGGGGAGCGGCGGCCCGGGAGCCCGTCCGGAGGCGGCGCGGGGTCCGGGCGGGGCGCGCAGGGGCGGCGCCAGGCGGTGACGTGCGCGGGGGACGTGCCGCGCCAGCGACCCGAGCACTTAAAGTCGCCCCCGGCGCGGCGCCGGGCGGCAGAGGCGGGCGGAGGCGGCGAGAGGCGGGCGGAGGCGGCCCAGCGGCGGCAGGTAGGCGCGGCCGCGACGCTCGTGCGCGGGCCGGGGCCCAAGAGCTTCCCCGTGCCCGGCAAGGGGGCGGCCTCTGGGTCCGCACCCTCGCCCCCACCCCGCCCACTTTGTCCATCAGGTCCGGGGGCGCCCGGGGCACGGACTAGCCTTCTCGCCCCCCGCGCGGCCCCCACCGAGGGCTCCCGAGAGCCAGCCGCGTCCCTCCGCGCCCTCGCATCCCTGGCTGCCCAGTCTCGTGGCCCCCGGTCCGGCCGGGCGTCCACCCGTCGGGCTGCCCTCAGGGGCTGGGCTCCGGCCAGGAGGTGGCTGCGCTGGCGGCCAGGCCCGGTCCGGGTATAAATAGCTCGGTCCGCGGCGGCGGGGGGCGCGGGCTATATTTGGTGGGGCTGCTGCAGCCCTCCCTGTATGGGTGGCCTCCCCGAGGGGAGTGGGGAGCACGTGCGCTCTGGCCGAGGCGCTTTCCCCTGTTCACAGCACCCTAAACACTCCCCGACCCACACCCGCCCTTGGGCAATGACTAACAGCCCGTGCAGGGAAATGGAGGATCCCCTTCAGGGCCAGGCTGGGCTCCCTGGGTTCGCCCTACCTCTACCCCGGCCCCCAGGCGTGGGAAAACCAGGCCCAGACTTTGGTAGCCTCCCACTTCCTAACCCACGCCTGTTTCCCCATCCGAAAAGTGGTTGATGAGGAGCCTCCCTGGGTGTTGGGCCAGCCAAGACACAGGGGCTGCAGACTGGAAGGGAAGTCCTTAGCTCTGGCTGGGGCCACCAGGGGTGGCTGGAGTCGGTGAGGGACCAGAGGGGGAGCCGAGGGGCCGCTGTCCTCCTCTCTGTCCCAGAGGCACCGAGCTTCGTGGCCAGGAGGCCTGGGCTGAAAGGGTCCCTCTCCTGGTGATGGCCAGAGTCAGGCCTGTTGGGCAGGAAATGGCCGTTGGCCCACCCCAAGGCCCAAGGGCTTGTCCGTGCTGAGCACAAGGGTGGGTGGTCTTGTGTCTATTGGGGCTGGGGAGTCCAGGGTCCCAGCTTCACTTCACAGGCCTGGGAGTCAGGTGGGGGCTGGCCTGACCGTGCTGGGAGAGGAACTGTTCTCCAGCATGGTGTGGAGGAGGCTGGGCTGGACTCCCTCGTGGCGAGCAGGAACTGAGGAGGTGCTAGGAGGCCATGGCGGGTGTCTGCCCCCAGAGAGGCTTTGAGTGCACAGGGGCACTGCCTTGGCAGGTGCAGTCTTTCCCCCAGGGCTCTGTGGTGTGGACAGTCTGGGGTGGGCATCTGGAGGCCTGATTTCAAGGCAGACTTGGTAACGACCCCATGTGACCTTGGGCAGGGCCCACCATCCAGGCCACCCAGAAAGCCATGTGGCCTGCATGGTCAGGCCAGCCCCCACTGACTGAAGCAGGGCACTTTACTTTGGAGGTGCAGCTACCAGAGGGCTCTATGGATCCCGGCCCAGCCGTCAGGCCAGACGGTTCCCCCCCACTGGCCTGCAGTGACCCTTATGCCAGGCTTGGCTGGCTCAGCGGTGGGTTCTGGGGTGACCTGGCCACGTGGGACAGAAGGGCCAGTGCCGCCCCCTCCAGTGAGGAGCCAAATGTGGGCTACACTCTGGGCCCCAGCGGGGGCCTTCGGGGCGGTGGCGCAAAGCCATTGGAGGTGCCCAGGCCCTGGCGCAGGGGCGGGGCGGGAGCAGATAGGGCTCGTGGAGTCCTCCCAGCGTCACCTGCCCGAGTCAGTCCCATCTGTGAAATGGGCCACGCCGGGCAGCCGCACGCACAGAACCTCGGGGGCCCCTGCCCCGAGACCCGCGGTTCACGAGTCGACGTCCCCGAGCCGCGCCCACTCAACCCACCTCTGCAGCAAGTGGAGCCGGCCCCGCCCTGTGGCTTCGAGGCCCCGATGCCTGGCGCGGCTCCCGGGCTCCGCTGACCCCGGTGGACCCGCGCGCCGGCAATTACGGTAGCGGCCGGTAGGGCTCCTACTGCGGGCAATACGGGGGCTCCTCCCATGGCGCGGTCACGTCCCCCACGTCCCGCGGCCGGCGGGGCGGGACCGGGCGGAGCATCCTTCCCTCCCCCTCCCCCAGGTGGGCCCCGCCCAAGCTCGCCCACCCGCGCCGACCCCCGCCGGCAGAGCCGGGAAGCCGGAACCCGCAGGCGCCCTCCCTCCAGCCCGGGCGGGGGTGCGCCGAGGAGGGACCTCTCCTGGCAAGGGTGGAGTTTTGGGTTCCCCTCTCCGCCCCCCACGTCCCGCCTTCCTGCTTCCTCCCGGTCACTACCTCCCCCCGAGTCCCCACGACGCCCGCTGGGCGGCGGTGGGGTGGGGGCGCCTCCTGACCCGAGTCCCCCTCTAGTCTTGGCCTTCGGGCACTGGCTTTAGGGTGGAGGGGTGCATGGGAATCCAGGAATGGGGCGAGGTGGCCTCGTGGAGGGGCGGCCTGGCGGGGTCCAGGAGGCCTGGGAGGTGGGGGAAGGCGGCTCTGGACCAGCTCCGGTCCCCACCGCCCCCCGGCCCCAGGGCGGTGACCTCGGCCTTGCGGAATAGCGGTCTTCAAGCTCTGAGACCCCGGAGTGTCAGCTCAGGGCTGAAGCCGGCGGCGGCGGCACATGCAGCCTCCCTTTCCCACGTGGGACTTGAGCCCAGTCCCTCTTGGGGCACCAGTGGGGGCTCCTGGCCCTGGTGTAAGTGGCCAGTCCGGCCTGTGCGTCTGCCCCGCCGGCCTCTGCCGTCATGATGTAAGCGGACACAGCGGCAGGGCACGGGCGTGCGCGGGGGTCTGCGGGGGTCAGAGGTGGGGTGCAGGGCCCAGGCCTGGGGCAGCCCCTTGCGCAGCGTCCACCCCCTGCCAGCTCGGCCGGACACCTTTGCAGGCGGCCGGGGCGGGGCTGCCGGGGGTTACTCACTGCTCCTTCCTTGTTTGCACAACAGGGACGGCGGGGGAAGAAAGGAACTCAGCGAGGCCCCTCCCCCGGTGCGGCGCCCTCCCGCCCTCAGCACCCCTTAGCAGCCAGGCGCTAGCCACAGAGGGGCCGCTTCCTTGGTCCTCAGGCAGCTCCCTTGGATCCAGGAAGGAAAGGAATTGCCCTTTTCCTGCTCCGCCTCCTGCCTGGGCCACAAAGGCAGGGCTAAGGCCCATCCTTCAAGGGCTGGAGTCAGTTAGGTAACAGACCTCGGGCCCGGGGCTCAGGCCACTGCACGGACCCAGGGAACGGGCTGACAGTCCAGTGGAGGCCTCAGCGAGGCGGCGGCACTGCGCATAAACCTGAGGACCTAGGCGGGTGAGGGGTCTGCAGGTCCAGACGCCTGAGGGGAAGCATGCCAGGGTGCCCAGTGCCCCCAAGGAGGTCAGCGAGGTTACTGGAGAGAGGCCCAGGAGGAGCAGGCCTGGGCAGCAGGGGTCGGGTTCCGGACCCTCTGTGCGTGAGTCCACATTGGCTCTGCAGGTCGGCATTTCGAGCCACCTGGCATGGCGTTCCAAGCCTGTGATGGGGCAGTGCAGGGGTCTGACTGGCAGGCACCCAGGTCCTGAGGGCTTCATGGTTGAGTCCTGGCCTGAAGCCAGGGGTCCTTACAGACCCCTGTGCCCTGCACCCTTGAGGGAACTGCTGCCAGCAGCCCCTGGCTTGGGAGGGCACATGGCTGTGGGATGTGGGGTCCCCTGCAAGGGCTCCACCCACCCCTGTCCCAGGCCTCCTGCTCAGCTTCCAGCAGCCTGGGGTCGTGGTCTTTGGGGGACCCGCTCTCCGGCAGCCCCCACCTGGGAGATCAGCTTTCTCATCCCAGAGGCCAGGTTATTTCTGGGCGGGTTGGCACGCTTCCTGGGGGGCGGGGGGGGCAGTAAATGTCAGGGGGAGGCCAGCCTATGGCGTTTGCCCACGGAGAGGCCAATGCTTGGTGACTGTGGCGTGTGCTCCAGGCAGGACAGCCCCAGGGTGGTCCTCGGAACACCAGGCGACCTGTACCTTGGCCCATCGCAGTGCTGGGGTTACCCTGGGAGATGGGTTGTCTGCGCCGTTATTTCGTGCCCCTTCCCCGTACTCCGCCTCCTGTGGAATCCCCTGCCCCAAGCCATGTGGGCAGACAGCTGGCTCCAAGTCAGCCCCTGGACACCAGGCTGGAGTGGGAACTCCTGGAGCCATTTCAGCATGGCTGGCACCCCAGGCTGGGTGAGGACAGACGATGGTGCCAGGCTGTGGTCTGGGGGCTTGTCCAAATGCCTCATCTTGACACAGAAAATGGCCCTCCCCACGTGAGCTTCATGTGGAAGCCACAAGCATCTCAGGTCTCAGAACATGCTGTGCCCTCCTGGCCAGTGAGTCCTGGCACTGCCCCAACCCTCTGCCAGCCCTCCTTGACTCTAGTTCAGGGGCGCCGCGTCTCCTGAGGGTGGCCCCCGTCCCCTGCCTCCCCGCGAGCCCTCGTCTGTCTTCTGAGGACCCTGCAAGCTTCAGATGCTGGGTTTGCCTGCGTCCCCCGCCCCCACTGGTGCAGCCAAGGAGACTCAGAGGCCCTGGTGCCTCTTTGTGTTTTGGAGGGGGAGCCTGGGGTACGCGAAATCCGGCTGTTCTGTCTCTTGTGTATTTCCTTCCTTGGCCTTGCATGGCCTGTTTATTTTAAAAAGTGCCAACCTGCAACCCCAAACAAGCTGGGGCCCTGAGGCCGTCAACCCCTCCAGTCTCCCCCATGACCCACAGTCTGCATCCTTTCCCAGTTTCATTCCTCAAGTGCATGTATTTTTAATATCTTGTAGTTACCCTGCTGTATACTGTCATCTTAGGAAACTTTTAAACTTAATACCAGTATGAGCAGGACCTACCCTGCTGCTTAGTGACCCCAGACAGCATGTCCTGAAGTGGTGTGTCCTGGGGAGGTGCGACAGTCCTCCTCTGTCCTGTCCCAGGCACTGTGGTGGGGGCATCCGGTGTCCAGGTGCAGAAGCAAAAGCTGCTCCCAGGTTTCCCAGAAATGGTCCCGAGGCCTTGGCCCCAGGGAAGCCAGTACAGGTTGGGGAGTGGACCTCTGGCCCTGTGGCGGGGGTCTGTTCTGCTCCAGTGGACCGCATCTGCCTCGTCATCATCCAGCCAGCCACAGCTGGCTCCTGGGTCCCCTCGTCAAGCGGCATTTCTCAGTAACAGTGACTTCGTGGAACACTTATGAAGCCCTTACAAACCATCCTCAGACCTCTAAGGCAGGGGCTCCAGGAGGCACAGCACCCGTGGTGGGGATGGTCAGGCAGGCTGGATGTGGGGAGGGTTCGGAAGGAGTGAAGAGCCACGCGCAGAACCCCTCAGACTCTCCCAGCAAAGGTCCTTGCCCTTGTGCGGGTCCTGCCTCTAGTTACGTGTTTGCCTTAGAGGCAAAGTTGGGCCGTCACGGAGGACCCACCAGGATGGGGTCTGCGCACACACTTGCAGGAGGAACCCAAGGAAAGGGGGCGGGGGTGGAGCCCCACAGGATTGCGTGGAGCTTGCACAGCAGGCCTGCTGCTGCCTCCCAGGGCGCTGGTTCACAGCAGTCTGGAGAAGCTGAGCCGGCTGGACCAGACCACCCAAGGTCTCAGGTTGCAGCTCCCTGGTAAGGAGAGGACAAGGTGACTTCTGGGTGGGGTGGGGCATGAAGATGGAAGTCTGGCCTCGGGTTCCAACTTGACTCAAACGAGCTGAGCTCCTGGAGTTTACAAAAGGGACACCAGCTTCAGACATTGTGGGGGCTGGCGTGGTTTGCTCTGGTGGGCTGGATGGGAGCCTCCCCAGCCCCTCCCCTCCCCAGGAGGCTCCAGACCCTCCTGATTTTAGGCTGCAGCCTGTGGGTCACTCCAGGCACAGGTGGGGTGAGTCTCTTCTCACTGGAGAAGTTGCTGAGCAAAAGGGCTGCTGGGAGGCAAGGGGGCATCCAGGGATAAGGGGCCAGCTGTGCCCCCCCTTCCCCACCCCACCCACTCTAATACTGCAGCCCCTGTGCTTCCAACTGCCCGCTCCAGCCTGATGCCCAGCCCCTCACCGCCAGCGACTGCCCGCCTCCTCTTGTGCAAGCTCCTGGCGGGCTCCACTGAAGCCAAAGTGGGCCCTTGGGGGCAGGAGAGCCAGAGCAAGGCACGCTCCATCTAGATTTAGACAGGGAGAGACCTGGCGGACGCCACCCCTGAGGCCCCGGGGCGAGCTCAGTGCTGGGGACCGGAGGTGCAGGCTGTTGCCAGAATCATGGTGTGTGGCCCTGCCCAGCACGGGTCAGCCAGAGCGAGCCAGGACAGAAATGACGGCCAGGCCCATGTTCCTGCCGGGGGCTGCTCCTCCCAGGAGGTAATCTGAGTCCTGGCCGAGCCCAAAAAAGCCACTGCCCTTTAGAGCCAGCTGTGTGAGTGCAGGAGGCAGTGCAGAGGGAGTGGGACCCCCAGCTGCTAGCCTCCCTCCACATCCTCCTGCCTCCACCAAGCACCAGGTCAGGGGGCCACAAGTGCGGGCGCTGGGCAGCTGCCCCTCAGCCGAGCTGCAGGGCCATCCAGCCCAGGCGTGTGTGCCACCCAGCTCGTGTTGCTCCCCGACGGGCTGCAGCTGGGATGGTCACCCGGGCAGCCTGAGTCAGCCTGCGTTCTCTCTCAGGTGAGGCGGAACCGACCCTCTCGGCCATGGGAGGGGCCGTGGTGGACGAGGGCCCCACAGGCGTCAAGGCCCCCGATGGCGGCTGGGGCTGGGCCGTGCTCTTCGGCTGCTTCGTCATCACCGGCTTCTCCTACGCCTTCCCCAAGGCCGTCAGCGTCTTCTTCAAGGAGCTCATGCGGGAGTTTGGGATCGGCTACAGCGACACAGCCTGGATCTCCTCCATCCTGCTGGCCATGCTCTACGGGACAGGTGAGGGCGGCCTCACACCGGGCCCCCGTCCGGGGCTCTGCTGGCAGATCCTGCCAGGCGCAGGAGCCCGCGTGTGGCCAGGCTCGGCAACAGGGCCTTCTGCCCGCTCCCCAGGAACCCTGGAGGGAAGCCCTCGGGGCCGGATCCTGCTGGGCAGCAACATGTTCTCCACAGGGCCAACCCAGGCAGGGTGCGAAGTCCATCCTGGCCCCTGTCCAAACGGGTCGGCTGTATTTATAAACAGTCCCAGAGGACAGGGCTGCCCAGAGCCGTTCCTGAAAAGATGGCTGTTCCTGCACTGCAGGGACCACGGAGCCCAGCAGGTGGCACTCGCCTGTCACTCTGCCCTGCGCTCTGGGACTGGCCCCCAGCGTGCCCCGGTGCCCCGCGGAGGGAGGGGTGGCGTGGGAAGGGGAGGCCGGCTGCAGACTGGGAGCTCGGTGGGCTGGCGGGGGCAGAGCTGGCTGCAGGCCCAGCCCCTCTCAGCTGCCGCCCTCCTCAGGCCCACTCTGCAGCGTGTGCGTGAACCGCTTTGGCTGCCGGCCCGTCATGCTTGTGGGGGGCCTCTTTGCGTCCCTGGGCATGGTGGCTGCGTCCTTTTGCCGGAGCATCATCCAAGTCTACCTCACCACTGGGGTCATCACTGGTGAGTGGGGCCGGCCGGTGGGCCGCAGGTGCCGAGAGGGGGGCGGGCCGTGCACTTCTGCTCCTGGGTCCAGGCCGCCTCTGGAGGACAGCAGGGCGGGTGGCTGCGGGATGTTCCGGCCCCACCTCGTTGTCCCCCTCTCGCGTGTGTGGGTGGCAGGGGCTCTGCACACTGGGAGCCCGAGCCCGTGGGCACCTGGGGGTAGAGACGCGGGTCTTGGGCTTTGGGGGCAGCCTTGTGGGGGCTCTCACCACATTCCCTTTCCTCAGGGTTGGGTTTGGCGCTCAACTTCCAGCCCTCGCTCATCATGCTGAACCGCTACTTCAGCAAGCGGCGCCCCATGGCCAACGGGCTGGCGGCAGCAGGCAGCCCCGTCTTCCTGTGTGCCCTGAGCCCGCTGGGGCAGCTGCTGCAGGACCGCTACGGCTGGCGGGGCGGCTTCCTCATCCTGGGCGGCCTGCTGCTCAACTGCTGCGTGTGCGCCGCACTCATGAGGCCCCTGGTGGCCGCGGCCCAGCCGGGCTCGGGGCCGCCGCGATCCTCCCGGCGCCTGCTAGACCTGAGCGTCTTCCGGGACCGCGGCTTCGTGCTGTACGCGGTGGCCGCCTCGGTCATGGTGCTGGGGCTCTTCATCCCGCCCGTGTTCGTGGTGAGCTACGCCAAGGACCTGGGCGTGCCGGACACCAAGGCCGCCTTCCTGCTCACCGTCCTGGGCTTCATTGACATCTTCGCGCGGCCGGCTGCGGGCTTTGTGGCGGGGCTTGGGAAGGTGCGGCCCTACTCCGTCTACCTCTTCAGCTTCTCCATGTTCTTCAACGGCCTCGCGGACCTGGCGGGCTCCACGGCCGGCGACTACGGCGGCCTGGTGGTCTTCTGCATCTTCTTCGGCATCTCCTACGGCATGGTGGGGGCCCTGCAGTTTGAGGTGCTCATGGCCATCGTGGGCACCCACAAGTTCTCCAGCGCCATCGGCCTGGTGCTGCTGATGGAGGCGGTGGCCGTACTCATCGGGCCCCCATCAGGAGGTGAGCGCTGCGCCCCCAGGCAGTTCCCCACGTCTGCCCTTCCCATCAGATGCCCGCTTTGTGAGGCAGGGACACACACCCCAAGGCAGCTGTCAGCATTGTGGGACTCAGAGCTGAAGGGGGTGCACTGTGCTGAACCGGCCCTGATTCTGCTGGGGCCAGTGGATCTCCGTTAGGAGTGGGGGGCTCGGTCTGGCACAGTGCACCCCAGATAGACAAGGCAGCTAGGGGCTGGATCCGTGGGGTGGGCAGCTCTTCCAGGCTCTACATGGGCACCACGTGGCAGCTCCGGGCAACCCCACAGCCAGTTTTTGTATTTTGGGGCCTCCTTTTTGAAGGCTGACTGAGCTAACACGTGAGGGAAATTAGGTTTGACTGGAGCAGCCTTGCCCAGGCTCTGGCTGCCTGGCGAGGGGGTCCTGGGCTTGGGGAGGGCCAAGGCCTCACCCCCAGACTCGTGTCTTGGAGTCCGCGGTGGCCAGGACACAGGGCTGGTGCTGAACACAGCAGGGCTTCTGTGGCTGCCCACTGGAAGCCTCAGGGGAACTCGGTGGGGACCAGCCTGACTCCTGCCACCAACCAAAGCCCAAACTCTCCGCAAAGCCACTGCTATTTTTAGCCTCTTAAGTCTTCGTTCCCCTGGGGAGGAGGGAGAAGAGGCTGAGGAGGGAGGATGCCCCCAGCTGGAACACATGGAGGAGAGAACACCTCCCAGCCCCACCAACTCAGAGGCAGACAGGGCGACCCGTGTGTGCTGAGACGCAGAGACACAGGCTTGGGGGAGCTGTGGGCCCTGGGGGCAGCCCGCAGAAGCAGCTGGGACTAAAGGGGTCTTCCTACAGGCAAGCTCCTGGATGCGACCCACGTCTACAAGTACGTGTTCATCCTGGCGGGGGCCGAGGTGCTCACCTCCTCCCTGATTCTGCTGCTGGGCAACTTCTTCTGCATTAGGAAGAAGCCCAAGGAGCCACAGCCCGAGGTGGCGGCCGCGGAGGAGGAGAAGCTCCACAAACCTCCTGCAGACTCGGGGGTGGACTTGCGGGAGGTGGAGCATTTCCTGAAGGCTGAGCCTGAGAAAAACGGGGAGGTGATTCACACCCCGGAAACGAGTGTCTGAGTGGCTGGGCGGGGCCGGCAGGCACAGGGAGGAGGTACAGAAGCCGGCAACGCTTGCTATTTATTTTACAAACTGGACTGGCTCAGGCAGGGCCATGGCTGGGCTCCGGCTGCCGGCCCAGCGGATCGTCACCTGATCAGTGTTTTGCGGGGGAAGGTGGCGGGGTGGGAACCATGTCATTCCAGAGTGGATCTGTGGTGAAACCAAGCCACAAGGTTACAAGGCATCCTCACCAGGGGCCCCGCCTGCTGGTCCCAAGCAGCCTGCGGCCACTGCTATGCTCAAGGACCTAGAAACCCGCACTGCAAGACAACGTGACTTTAATGGGAGGGTGGGCTGGCAGGGCAGGTGCTGCGTGGGGCCCTCTCCAGCCTGTCCTACCCTGGACTCTCACGTGGGGCCTGTGCCCACCCCTCTAGTGTCTTGGGGACAGCTCCTTCCACCCCTGGAAGGTGGAAATAAACCTGGATGTGGGTGGAGCGTCAGGACAATGGTTTCCTAGGACTGTGTGGTTTTGCCATGTGGCCTAACTCTGTGTCCCAAATCTCACATCTGCTGGTAGCCTGGCTGTTCCTACAGTGGCTCTGTCCTCACCAGCTTTCCCTGCAGCAGCACAGCATTCGTAGCAGGGGCAGGCACTGCGTGGAGGGGGGTGCGGGGCGGGTGCCTGGAGGCCGCTTGTGCCAGGATGGTCTCTGAAACGTTCCCTGGGAGCCCCTAAGTGGTGGTTATATGGGAGCTGAGGTGGAACAGGCCACTTTATTCACTGCTATGTTTAAGAAACAGGGCTCTCCTGCCTTCCCTTTTTCGCCCCTCTGGCTGGCAGTGTGCACAGTGCGGCCAGTGCCCAGGGCTGGTCTTTGTGCCCTGTCCTCCATCCAGCCCAGTCCAGCACTTGGGCTTGTCCTGGGCACCTAACACCCACCTGCCCTCGTGGCCAGCAGTGGCCTGCGTGGCTGGGAGCCCGGTCAGAGGCCGCCGGGGCCCTCAGTAGGTGCGTCGTGGGCGCTGGGGACGGCAGCGGGTGCCCTGGCGGGCTGCGTGCAGCCGGAGAGATGCCATGTCCCTGCTCCTCTGCAATGAAAAGCAAGCGAAAAGCGCACATCTCAGCTCCAGGTGCCCCCATCTGCCCCTGGCCTTGCCCCAGCTGGGCTGGAGCGCTCTCAGCCCAGGCTCCTGCCTGCAGCCGCAGGGCTGTGGAGGCCTCTAGCAGGGCTCAGGCTGGCGGGCAATGCCAGCAGCTGCAGGGATCAAGGTCCACCTCTGCACAGCCAGGCCCATGTGTCTCGACAGAGTCCACCAGCCCCACCCAGCAGCTGAAGGGAGAAGGACGAGGAGGTGGGAGCAGGCAAGGTGGTGGGAAGCAGGCAGCCTGGGCCTCAGAAGACACATGGCCTTCCCCGGCCGGCACCCCCACATCAGGGCCCCATGGGGGCTGCTCAGACCCAGGAGTTGCCGCCTCTGGACCTGGCTGTGCCTGGTTCTGCTGGCCTCAGGAGTGACCTGGGCTTACAGAGGTACTGGCAGGGAGGTCATGGGCCGGGTGGGGGGTGCTTGCTCCTGGAACCCTCTGTTTCCAGGTATCTCAGGCCCTCACCCTCCCCTAGGCAGGAAGCAGGCCCCTCCAGCTCAACTGTCGCCCCTCATCTGCCCCACTCTGGTCCCCACACCCACAGCACACAGCAGAGGCCCAACACAAAGTGGCCAGGCAGTGCTGCTCCTAGACAGACACGCCTGAGGGGCCCTGCTCAGTGATTCAGGAGTGGTCCCGATGTGGGAAGGCGGCCATGCGTGGCTGGGGGCACGGGACGTCTGGGGGCTGGGGTCCCTGGGGAAGGCGGCCATGCGTGGCTGGGGGCACGGGACGTCTGGGGGCTGGGGTCCCTGTGCCGCAGAGTGGGTGTTGAGTTCTACCACTCCCTCCTTCAGCTGGTGTCTTTATAGGCGAGAAACCATGGGGCAGCGGGTCTGCTCTGACACAACAGGCAGGAGTGAAGGGAAGGGAAGCCCGGGGCCCGCTGGAGGAAGCTGGGCGCAGAGGTCTGGTGTGTGGGCTGCACAGAGCTACCCCCCAACCCCGGTGACAGATTCTGGGGCCAAAAGTGGTTCAGGTCTACCATGTTGTGAAGACCCCCTGACCAGAGACACGTCCATCCAGAACCCACGGCTACGTGGGGCGGGGCGGGGCGGGGCGGGGGGCAGAGGGCACACAGACTTCTTCACACGATCCCACATCAGAGGGAGGTGTTCACCTGGCCTGGGCTTTCCCAGAGAACAGCCCTGGAACAGATGTGTGCAGGGCCCGTGCTGGGGGAGGTGGTGGGGGAGGCGCAGGGAACCCAGAAAGGGCCTGGTGGCTCCAGACGCTGCCATCCCTGGGCCTTCCAAGGGGTCTGTGGTGAAGCTCCCAGGAGGCACTGCCCAGTACCTGGCAGACCTGCTCTTCCCCTCTAAACCACGTCTGAGGACACAGACCCAGCCAGACTCAGGTGCAGAGAACAAGCTCTCTAGCCCTGTCCGCTCAGGCCCTCACAGGGGAGATGCAGAGCCACCACCCAGCAGGCCCTGAGGACGTGCAGCCCCTGCTCCCTCTCAGGGCAGGGAACCCCAGGAGGGAGGCTGCAGGCCTGGGGAAGGTCAGGCAGGAACTGGAACTTGGGTCTTGCCATTTTCCAGTTGGGGCCGGAGAACAGGGCAGGGGCTGAGCCTCACCCACGGCCACAGTGAGGCCCCACACACCGTCTCAGTCTGGGGCAGCAAGAGGGAACCATGTGAGGGGGCCTGGAGACGGGGAAGGCCCTGGGAGACGGCAAAGTCTGCGCAGGAGGGGCTGGCAGAGCTCCAGGCCACAGGCCTCCCCAGGGTCAGGGCGGAGTGCGTCACAGGCAGAGTCGGCGGGACAGCCCCGGAACCCCCTCAGCACACACCCACGTGGGGCTCAGAAAGCTACACCATTCTTAGTTCGAGCAACCTCCACACAAGCGACCCAAAGTCTTTATGCTTTCACTACAAACCAAAATATCCTCATCTTAGGCAGTGTGACCCTGCTGGCGTGGCTGTGGCCAAGGACCAAAGGAGTGGCCTGCAGTGGAGAGTGTGGGGTGGAGGTAGGGGCAGGAGGGAAGCTGGAGGGGAGGCGGCCTAGCCTGGCTGAGCTCATCCACACACAAGCACAGGTCAGGAGTAGGTGTGGACCTCCCTGCTCTGGCAGCCCGACAGCCCCCGAAGGCCTTGGATAGGGGCCGCTGCTGTGTGCTCCGGGGCGGGCAGAGAGGAACCGCATCCTTGTTCCTGTGCAGGGCCATCGGGGCAGCTCCTGGGCTTCAACAGCTCAAGTGACAGGGGAAGCCCTGAGCACTGCAGCCCTATGGCAGTGGGAATGGACACGCGCTCACCCCAGGCGGCTGGAGTGCCGCTGCCGGCGCCACCTCAGAGGGCAGGGGCTCTCCAGAACCATCACACAGAACATGCGTGGACTTCCGTGTGCACACCAGAGCCCAAGGGGGCAGCACGGCGAGGAGCAGTCGCCACCCCTCCCTGCCTGGCAGGAGGCCCAGGGCACAGCTCTCCTCCTGCTCTGCCAGCTCCCAGACACCCACAGGCTGAGAAAGAACAAACAGTCGTCTCAAAAAAGTATTTTCACAGAGTTCACCTCAATGCATCGAAAACTCTCCAGCTGATGAAATAAAGACCACATGGAAAGGGGAGGGAAGAAAGGTAGAAGTCATTATGAATTTATTATTTACACAATTGTTAAAGTACACAAATACAGTGGCGATACAAACGCACAGCTTGGAGACTGGCCGCCAGTGCACAGCTGACACAACGTCCTACCTACGTTTCCTGCACGGGGCGACGGGGACTAGATACTGGGCAAGGACTGTCACAAGCACACTCCGAAGACGCAACCCGGCAAGGCTCAGGCTGGAACCCGGGCGCAGAGCTGCCTCGCACAAACGTTCTGGCGCTACATCAGGACCACGGGTATTTACAAAGCCAGCTTGCGCCACTTCAGGCCACAGCCGCAACGTCTCTCCGGGTCGGGGACGTCCACCTTCAGGAAGGCGTCCGGCAACAAAGAAAATCTCTACCTTGGCTCTGACCCACCCCAACCTCCCTCTGTACTTCGACACACAGCTCCCACCCGCTCAAGGCCCCGCACTCCAAAATGCTTACACAGTAACCAGCCTAGGATTCAGAAAGCACCCATGGGCTCAGCCAGCCAGCCAGCCAGCCGGGAGGGTGAACGACTGTGTTCCAGGACGCCAGCCAGTTACGGTGTCCGGGTATCTCTGGGGAGGAGAGGGAAGAACCCAGGTACACACCTTCAGGGTCCTAGAGTCCAAAGGGAACATTGTCCATCGTGATGGGGTCCAGAAGTGCCCACGAACACAGACTGCACTGCGCATCGGGGGTGGGAGCACAAGGCCACTGGCTACTGGCCAACTGCTGCGGAGTGAGAGGCGAGAAGGCATCCTGGGAACCTCAGGGCACAGCAGCGTGGAGCCTGGGGCAGCACCAGCTCACGGAGACCGCCTGCCTTCTGGTGGGACTCGGCGCCACGCACGCTGCTTGACTTCTGACCAAGAGACACGCGCCCAACAGAAGGTCACAGAGCGCAGACCCTACTTCCTGGGCGTGAAGGTACTGGGTCAGGTTGGGAGAGTCACCTGCTCCTTGGCACCTCGGGGTGGGTCCTTCTGACCTGCCGGCTTTTCTGAGCTAGTCTTGGCACCTGGCAAGGACAGCCCTGCTCCTGGTTTTGAGCACGGGCATTCACACAGATCGACTGCCAATCTGCCCAGGAGCACTGAGTGTTGAGAAAACGTACTGAGTGCAAAGGCAGCAAAGGCAACAAACACTGCAGTAACCACACACCTCTCGGTTCACAATCCTCTCCCAAGGGATCAGAAACGCATCTTCCACCTGTAATCCTGGGACTCCCAATTGTCCTGCTAGGGTCTCAAAGCCTCTGCTTCCAGGTTCTCAGCTGCCTGCCCACCTCCTGGGGAAGAAGAGCACAGCACTTTGCCTGGTAACACCCACCGCGCACCCCTGCTCCGCGGCAGCCTGCGGGTCCCTAACTGCTCTCCAAGGGCCTCAAGAGTTCCCGACAGCAGGGATTTCAATTACAGGAGGAGGGAGGGTGAGACGCCAAAATCAGGTTGAAGAGGTCCCACCACACACGGGCACGCACACACACCACAGACTTCTGCTGAGAAATCTCCTCTCCAAAGTGGACAACACAACACTGCAAAACAAACACAACACACACCCTTGAGATCTGCCTGCACCCTCTCCCTGCCCGACTCCACCTCATACACAAACTCCAATCCAGCCTGTCTCAGAATTCCTTAGAGTCAACATTTTTTTGTAAGACCGCAAAAACAGACAAGAAAGAAACAATAAAAAGACAGATTTTCTTTACACAGATTTAAGCCAGTAATTTTTAGCAAAATGATACAAAACTGTCTTAACCAAGTAGAAGATT